CTGGGTCCGCTCCGGCTGTCAGCTGGCAGGCCTACTACTTCTATTCGGGTGGCGGATGATCCGCGATGACATGCAGGTGTGGACTTTTGTCTTATGCAGCATTTGAAGTCGATTTCAAGGGCGGCAAGATCTGCGGCTCTGTCCAAGCTCGATGTATCGCGAGCAGAATTTGTATCTCTCGTAATTATTGCCTGTACTGAGTGCTGACTACCCGGCAGGAGATGCCAGCGTATGCTCTGGTCTACGGCATGCCTCTCTCCTAAACTGCAGGTGGTGCTTGACAGCTTAATGTTGGCCTTCATGGTCTTCAGCCTTGATTGCGCTTGCTTCCGCATCCGGCAAAAAAAGTGGTAACATGGCAGTGGCTGGCCGAGACTGAAAGCGTTTCGGCGAGCTGCTTGATAGTTGAAGCTTCCAAGGCGAAAGAGATTCTGTTCCTTGAGCAACGATTGCTGGTGCAAGTATGGTCCCAAGGCTTTGCGGCCTCAACTGCTGCTTCACGCTTCTGCCACTGGTGGCAGACCTGGCGGAGGGCCGCCTTTTGGATACGAAATGGGCATTCCGAGATAGTGAGTTGCCCAGCCAATTACGCAAGGGGATGTGCTACTGATTTGGCGTTCAATGTCGAGTGATACCGAGTACCGACTACTAAGATATTTCTAAGTGGCATAGAATGGACATATTGACACCCTGAAAGGCCACGTGGAGCAGACCGTGCGTGAGCCTACGGTACGTGTCAACCGTACCTCGGCGAAGCCGAAGAAAAAGATGGTTCCACGTGGAAGCATCGGGAAGCCTTGGAGCTTGGATTGAAATCTTTGTCACATGAGCAAGTGCTAAGGTACCAAGTATGAATCCTGGACCACCTACACGCAGATCACGCCCTTCTTCGACATGTCGCTGGGTTTGGAATTCAATGCCGCCAGCTTAGCACAGGCTGCAGTCTGTATGTCAAGGTAGTGCCCCACTTGACTTGTTTGGATAGGCTGAAAGCCTATGCATGCTGCTGACGCCTCTTACGATGGCAGCAGGGTGCTATTTGCCTGAGCCTTAAGGATGTAAAAGGAATCATCGCTGAAGGTGTGGGTTTCCTGTAGTTCCGAGATCGAAGCACTGAGGTCAGCATGCGCACACGTGATCGTGGACCAGGCAGCACACCGACTCTTGGCACGAGTGGTGAATGGGCTCCAAAAGCCCATTCTGTCTATAAGAGGCTTCCAGTAAGAATCCTTTCCGACTCACAGCTTCAGTGAAAAGTGTGCAAAACAAGGGGTGCTTGCACTTGTGTCTGAATG